CAGATTTCTCTGTGAGGAAGCAAGGACCGAGCAGTTTCACTTTATAGGTGTTAGATGCTTCTAATTCAATTAAATTTCTACAGCGATCCCTATGAAAGCATAAGACACCCGAATGGAGAGCCAGGATTCTTGTAACTACCTGTGTCTTAAAGACTTGCAACCACATGCAGGTGTTAGTGATTTGACTCCTATAAACTCTATTTTGAGAATTCCCTTTCATTTGCTACAGTTTCCTTACAGAAAGGTAAGCTAAAACCTCCGGTTTTAAATTTTAAATTCCAGATTTCTTGTGCAGGAAAGGTTATGGATTGAAAGAAAAATCATGAATTCACCTAGTTTCAAAGACAGATTCAATAGTTGTGTGTTTTAATAGCATTTCAATTGTCCTAGTCCGCCAAGAGAACTGGATTTGAGTTCACCTTTTCATATCTACTACATAGCACGCAGTCCAGCCTGTGATCTTTGTGTTTGTTGAGGTAAATGAAAAACTTGTGACATTGTGCCTTAGATAGGGTGTCCAGAATTGGGGTTAAATGGGATTTCAGAGACTCCGCCTGCAGCATATTCCTAAACTAGAAATAAGTCAATGCCTACATTATTGCTATCCCAAGTGGGCTGCCCCCGTACCTTGTAATTCACTATATTTTAAGGGGGAGCTGATCATCTTGGAGGCTGAGGTGAAGATAAACCCACGGTAAAGTAACAGAACCACTGAAACCCATCTTGATAGTTGGTGTAAAGCGTTGTCAACTTGCTTTTTTCTATACTTTTATTTTCTAATGTTCTGGATCCCTTTTTTGAAGTCTGCAAATTAGAAAACTAGCAGGAGAAAGTGAGGCTCTAAGCCACTTCCTGATGGGGCCATTGTTCATTATGAAGTCACTGTTGGGTCATCTTCCAGGGTCTTTAAGATCAAGAGCAAAAGTAGTGATGAAAAGTAAATAATAGTGACCAGTCATAGTTATTGCCACTGAAATCAAGGTTTCTCAATGTTTCCAAAATTCAGTTACCTGCTACATCATGAGGAACACACACATCCCAGTTGAGGAAATCTGAGTTCCTAGCAAGTTCCTAGCAAGGTGTACTCAGTAAGTACTCACCCAATGAATGCTGGATAAAGGAGGTCATCTGACTTGGGTGTATTGCTCGTTCTCTCCTTTTCTAAGAGGTCACCAAGCCAGGTTGCATTGCCCTTCTGCTCGGAACTTTCCTCCTTGTTCTGGAAGTGCCAGTCCTGTCCCAGATCTAATTCCTGGCCAAGTCAAGGTCCATAATCAGACTGACCCCATCAGGCTGAACACCCATCTCAGGCATAAAAAATAAGCCAGTGTCTTTCCACCTCCCTGCCAGCGCGGTATCAGGACTCCTAGAAAAGAATCACAACATTCACCACAATCACGGAGTCATAGGGCCGTGGAAGAAGAGCCCACAGCACTTCTTCCCTCTGGACTCCCGGCAATAGAAGTGTGCCTCTACCTGGCTGTTGCAGGAAGGCACAGTTAAAGCAGAAGGTATATAAATCTATAGTCTCCTACTATAGATGAAAATTCTAGATTTCATTGGTAAGCACTGAAAAGTATAGTGGTTTGAAAACACAAGGGATGAAAGGAGAGACCTCACGTTATATTCTGATGAGTCAACTTTGAAAAGAGAATAATTCTTTCAACCAGTGTATCAACAAGAAGTTCATTATCAGAGGGTCATCCTACTGCCCAAGTATTCCTTAGGATACTGATTGCTCTTCTTACAAAAAAAAAAAAAAAAAGTGATCTGATCAACTACAAACAAGCTGATAATAAATGAAGGAGCAGTGAAACTCAGCAAAGAAGCAGATGTGAAGAAGACCCAAAGGGCGATTTCAGGACTGAAAAACACAATAACTGATGAAGATTAGCTCCGTGGAAGGGCTGCAGACAGCACAGAGGAGATGGAGGAGAAGAGCAGTGAAGTGGAAGACAGAAAAGTAGATAGTAGCCAGTTTATCAGGAAACAACAGACTGATAATAATGACAAAGTCTCAGGGACCTCGGTAAAAATAAAGTAAATGTCCAAAAGGAAAGGAGAAAGAACTGAAATAGGACCCGAAGACATATGACTAACCACTTCTCCAATGCATAAAATGATAAAGTGATAGGAATAGAGAACCCATTTGTGGCTGAGCAGGGAGAGGAAGGTTCCGGAGGAAGTGGGCATGGTTATAAAGGCAAAATGAGGGGTTTTCATAAGGTTGGACACTTCCTTGGCAATGTTGACATTAGGGTCACCATGGTGATGCCAGTTCATCTAGTTTTGTAAGATGTTACCACTTGTGGGAAGCTGAGTCAAGTGTAAACAGGAAATCTCTGGATTATTTTTTGCAAATACAAATGATCTATAGTTATCTCAAATACAAAAAAAATGCATTAAAAAAAAGCCTCTTTCTCATTATCAAAACTCTATCTAGGAACACAGCCCCCAACGCTCACCCTTTCACCAACCATGGCGCAGTGGTTAAAGGGAAGCACTACGAAGCTAGCGGCAGTTGCTTCCACAACAGTTCAATCCCTGCCCAGGAGCTGGTCCACATGGCGCAGCAGACCTCTCAGTTCTTACCTGCTGCTCCCCTCAGCAGTGTACTTTGCTGATGTGCCTTTTCCGCTCCCCACTCTGTCTTTGGTGAATCCTCTCACCCCTGCACCTCTGGGCTATAACCCAGTTCTTGTGTGCATAAATAAATAAATCCTTTTTTAAAAAGCTCAATCTAAGTCCATTCTTTAATATCCTTTAACTCTCCCACTTCATTTTCATGCACATACATAAGAGCAAAAATCTTAGTGATCAGTGGTTCTTTAGGGCTAATCAGAAGTCCTTCTGTGTCTACTCAATATTGAGTGATTTAGGGACATAGTCAACCTGCAATGATCCATTCCAAGAGCTTGAATTTGGGGTTATCAGAATTCAGAGACTCCACTAGTGAAAAGACTGGGTCATTGCTCTGGTCCATCCATTTACTTTTTTTGTGAATCTGATACAAAAGAAACTCCTAAGTGTAGAAAAAAATCTGAGTTTTAATGCCTATTAACACTTTTCTGTTTTTCAGTGGCTAACTCAGTGTCCTTTCAACTAATGTGATATACTTTCATGCTGAGTAGCTCTTTTCTGAGTAGTATGTTATTAGAATATTGAATTTAAAAGCCAGTTTGATTTACAACCCCTTAAACTCCTGTTTTCTCTAGGGGTGGAATCACCAGGTCCAGGTAGTCTTCCGCTCTGGCCTGGGGATGGACAGCCTGGCCCCCCACTGAATGGAGCTGAACTCCAGGAGCCAGTGTGGCTGTTGATTTTTATAATTGGCAGCAAGCAGGTGAAAAAGCACATCCTTAACTACAGGTGTTCCTAAAAGTACGGTAGGCAAAATGAACTCTCCGATGAAACCCATTTTGGGAAATACCCAAAGCCAGAATCTCTGATTAAATAAATTTTAAAAAGTTCTGAAAGTGTCGATTAGAAAAATCAGTTTGTAGAAGAGAAAAGGGAACCCAACCAAAGTTTATTCCACTTATGTTGACTTCTTTCCCTGGCACACACCCGGTGTCCTTCGCTCGACCTTCTCTAGCCTGATTCACCAGCTTCCTTTTGTTACTCTCACACCTCAGAATACAGAGCAGATTTATGCATTGTTTTTGTGCTATTGGTGAAAGAAGGCAACTCAGTTCTTGAGTAAGTGTGCACTTAAATATACTATATAAAAGGGAAAATGATGATTTTTAATTGCTTATAGCTTTATCATCAATATATAAGTTTGGATCCTTGACAAAACAAATGTCTGTATCGAATACAAATAAGCATATAAATTATTACTTGCTCCATACCGATAATGATGCACATCAACATTGAAACCAAGGTCTACTTAGAAAGCCCATAATGTTTTTTACCACTTTTTACCACCAACATCATGCCATGTTGTCCTAGTTTTAGACCGAGTTCAA